GTTTCTGATTGGTCCAATAGAAGCAAAGCAGAGTTTCTGATTGGTCCAATAGAAGCAAAGCAGAGTTTCTGATTGGTCCAAACAGCCATGAAATTTAATTTCAAGCTGGGTTTGAAGGTGGGTGTATTTTAGCTTATCTGTTACTTTGGATATGCCATTTGTCCCATCTAAGAATGGCATATCTAATAATGTGGGAAAGCATCGCCACTGTCAGAAAAAAAGCCTTGACGGCATCATTTTTGTAATTAATTTCCCAATATGTTCTTCTTTATGTGCCGTAGCTATTTGAAAAACCCAAAAGCAGCTGAAAGATTGCAAAGACCTGTGATTTTTCCAGTCAAAGCTGCATAAACTACACCAAAAGTACTTTTCATCTCCCGAAATGTCATTGTCAAAGGAAAGCTATGGCTCTTTGAAAAGGCAGTGACGACATGCTTATCCTCTGGGCTCAAACCAGTCCTATGTTATTTCTCTCTGCGGTGTGCGGCTCACCATCTCATGTTCATTAGAGGAAATGTGGTCATTCTCAGCAGATGACTTCATTCCATTATATCTGACACGAGCTCATGCTGCAACAAGCAACAGGCCAAAGCAACAGAATATCAGCTCATGGTGACATTTTGCAATGAATCTTGCAAGCACTGCACTCTGGGACATGAGCTCGCTTTTACACCCGCCGGCTGCAGGGAAAGCAACTTTAAGTTTATATATATATATATATATTAGGGCTGGGCAAGTTAGCGCGTTATTATCGCGTTAACGCATTAATTGATTAACGCTGACAATTATTTTATTGCGCGTTAACGCAGTTTTTTTATTATTATGAAAGTCCGTTGCTCACTGGCTCTGAATGCACATACAGACAACCCATGGGTCACAGCAGGGGTGGGATGTTGATCAGTACTGTCTTGGGATGAGTGTCATCACACCAATAAGAGCATTTGGGGTGGGCCTAAGACTGCAGCAGTGCTCACATGAATGTCTATCAGAAATGTTCACACAATCATGTTGCACACATATCAGAAGATGTGCGCTCCGCTCACACTACATGCGTACCGCGCTCGAGCACACCTTTTCCAACCGAGCCAGGGACGGCTAAACGAACACTACACTATGCTCGGGCACGGTTAAGATTGCCTAGTGTGAATACACCCTAATTATTCTCCCGCATCCCGCACACACGAGTGTCTACCCGCCCGCACCCGCACCCCCATCAAGTGTTGTCCCGCGCCGCACTCTGCTGCGTTGGGTCCCGCGATCGTGCAGGTCTCTAAGGTGTCTGTTAAAATGTTATGATCGAGGCTCTAGACTCTGAGCATAACTTGTTTTTCTATAACAGACTATAAAATATTTTCTATAAAAACGTTAAAGCCCTGGCAGTGGAAATAGCTTGTTTTATATTTAATTTGATTACATTAATGTTATAAGTTGAGATTTACAAGAAATATTTTAACTGCTACTATGTAAAGGGAATACTGCTGTAAAAAAAGCACCTTATTTGTTTAAAGTGTTTGCAAACCAAATGTTATTGCACTTTTGTTCATATAGCAGTACCTTTAAATGAAAAAAGTGCACAATACACTACTTTTGATTGCATTATTGAATTTTGTGCATAATGCGATTTATCGCAGACAATCATGCGATTAATCACAATTTAAAATTTTAATCGTTGCCCAGCACTAATATATATATATATAAATTTTAAACAAAACATTTTTTGAAATATAGAAAAACGCGTTCTGTGTGAACTTAGAGTGCTTTTACGAACAATAACATGATGATTACATTGCATGATTTAATAATTATGCAAGAATGAATTTAAACATGATAAAGTCACGATTATGTCGCATAATGTGTAAAATTAGATAAAATCTTTTTTAAAAACACTAACATGACAATTATGTTGCATGGTGCAATAATTTTCTAAGAATGGTTTTAAACACAATACCATCATATAATGCAAAAATGATGTACAAATGGTTTTATGAACAATAGTTTTACAATATAATATCATAATGCGTTAGAGTGGTTTTACGAATGACAGCATGGCAATTACATTCCATAATGCAATAATTGTGTAAGGAAGGTTTTAAATATGTAACATCATTATATGACATACATTACATTAAACAACATACATTAACATATTTTTTAAAACGCTAACAAGAAAATTATGTCGCATAATGCAACAATTTCCTATGAATGGTTATATGAAATATAACTTGACAATTACATTGCATAATGCAATAATTACATAAGAATGGTTTTAAACAAGATAACGTCACATTACGAAAATTATGTACAAATGCTTTTACGAATAATACTTTTACAATTGCATCTCATAATGTGACAAATGTGTGAGTGTGGTTTTATGAATGACAGAATTACAGTGCATAATGTAATATTTGAAGAGTTTGGTTCCAAAACGCGATAAACGCCATTTTATTTTAAAATTGAGTTTCCGCCAAAATCAGTATTGTATCTGGTCGGTATTGAAAAGTCAATTTTTAATTTTACGCAAAATGCGATATCCGCTGAGTTATTCTGTCATGTTTCTCCCTTTCTTTCCAAACCGCGACAAAACGCCAGCCTCCCTTCTCTGCAGAATGCGATATATCCGCTCAACCAATCACAGCGCACCATTAATTCATGTTATTATAAATTATTTTTTCTTCCAATTTATGATGTTTTGCTACCTTTATAATAAATATTTTAAAAGTACATTAATATACCAAAAAAATTATAACTAAAAAGTATAATGATATGCTTTACAATAACTATGATTATAAATAAACTGTCAGTTTATAATAATAATTACATTCAAAAATGTATTATTATTGGTCTCTGCTAATTACAAAACAGTGGAATGATAGGTGCAAAAAGCCAGAAAACATGCATAATAATGTGAATTGTGAAAAGTCACATTATTTTATTTTGATAACTTGCATTCGCTCATGTGATCAAAAAAAAATAAATCTTACATTCTTTTTATGAATGTAACGACAAATTTCCTAACCATATCAGTCTCTCAGTGTTCACCAGATTTACTATAAAGGCATCTGAATTCATCATGAGCAAATGTACTGTATCATCTTCCCCAACGTCCACAATTATCTCTGAATAAAAAGTGGTTACTTACTGTTGGGATCCACATTTTCGCACAGTTCGGTTTTGGCCTCGCCGTTCGGCCGGTCGCTGGGTTTGTGTGACAGACGTGAGGACATGGTGGCCGCTGTCGCCACGGCCTTGAAGCTGCGCTTGCGTTTCTGCACGTTGAGCTCTGGGTGGAAGATGATGACATAGACCTTGGGCATGTAGAGCATTCCCAGAGCCACGGACGCGCTCAGATTCATGGAGATGGTCAGCGTGGTGGTCTGGATGTAGAGCTTTGGGGTGGAAAAGAAGGAAAACTTTTATTACGGCAAGGGAATTCTCGAAAGAGGTATAATAAATGAATTTTTAGTTTCACAAAGACGTGAAAAAGAGATAGAAAAGTATATTGTTTGTAGTAAGGCTGGGTATAGAAACAAATTTCACAATTTGATTCGATTTTGATTCACAAGCTTGCGATTCGATTCAATTTCGATCTTGATTCAGTTTGATTCTATAACAATTTATTTCGATATACAGGCAATCAGGTACAGGTTTTTCTCTAAACTAATGCTGTAAACTATACAATAAAACCTATCAGGGTTAAACCTAGGCAGTTTTATAATAAAATACTAACATACAGTAAATATAAACATACAGTAACTTGTTTTCATGACAGATTTATTCAAACAAGAAACAGGTTAAAATATTAAATATAATGCAAACAGTTAAAATATAATGAATGTGTAATATAGTGCACATATTTAGGAAAATTATGTTTCTAGAGTTCATTTTTCTAGCCTACTATCAAGTTTATGGCCACTGAATGGCTTTTCTGAGGTAAATGTGTCTTTCCACGGTTGAAATGCTGATTGATTGATTGATTGATTGATTACATGAGATAATTTAAGGTAAGTTGTACTTTTTCATACCTTCTGATGTTCATTCATACATATAACTAGTAGTAAGAGGAAGAGATCATCGGTTAATGTGTAGTTTAAATTGGTCTGTCTTGCCACATAAAACGGCGCCAAAACGGCATTTTGTTTGAATTTCTCAATAAAATTTGACCAAATTTGAAAGCGGAGACTTTGTTTAATAAGAAAAGTAACGAAGCACAAAGCTTCTTGCGATTTATTGGATGTTTCGTTACGTTTTGTTCACGCATCCACTGTAAACATTGATCGATTCTTCCCATTATTGGGTGCTTTAATACCTAATATATTACACATTACTAATGTAATATTATATATGGTACCTCATTGCGTATTTACGTAAACAAACTAGTGAATTGAACTAGTTCATTGAGTTGTCCGAAGGAACCATTTCACAGAAATGAATCAGATTTGCCTGTTTGAGGTTATGAATTATGAATAATGTCATAAATAATTTTCAGTTTCTTGCACAGACCGAACGTTTCGCTTTATAAGACCTCAATATATCGTCAGAAGCCACGGGTGTTAATTTTGTGCTCCTTAAATTTTTTTCTCAAAAACGGGGCAGTTGCTGACTTGCATTTTATGAATCACCAAGGACCACGATTTCAGATAAAACTCTTCTTTACTGTTCTACTGAAGAAAAAAAGTCACCTACATTTTGGATGGCCTGAAGGTGAGTGAATTAACAGCAAATTTTCTTTATTCCTGCTCTATTCCTTTTAGAATCGATGTCGGTTTATTAAAATGAGAATCGATTAAAATCGAGAAATTGTTTGGTAGTTCATGAATTATGTAGTCCATTAGATCTTTCTGCGAACTCCAGGATGGGATTCAAGACAAAATGAAGAATAAAATCAAATCCGAACAGGTCAGTTCCAAAGGCACTCAATGTTGACGTCCTAGTGGGAGAATTCAAAGCCAAATGGATGATAATCATCCTTAAAAACTCGAGCTTCTTTCATTGCCTGAGATTACAGCTCTTGCACGGATGTACTTTTCTTGTATGAAAAAAGGAGCTTGTCAAAAGTATCATAATGAAGGCTTTCATGCCGCGGAAATATCACATTAGTACTACGGCAAAGATTCATTTCATGTGGCTGTTAACGGCACTCTGGCAAGTATGTAATTATCGATATCCTCAATGTGTTTAATCTTTAATGTACTGCTAGTTCAAAGCCTGTTAGGAAGGTCACGGGTGTGTTTCGATGAAGGTGACGGCCCCCATTCATGAAACGCCAGTGGAATGAATTGTGAAAATCATTAAAAAAACACAAATTGTCAATTAAATGACGCCCAATGTTTCTGCTGCATGTAGAAACAGATCGACCTGCCAATAAAACAACTAGTCCAGTAAAACTTAGGGTCTGGACCAATTTGTAGCTTATGCAGGCCGAGAACTGCCTCCTCAGACAGCAAGGGTTTCTGCAACTATGGCCATTTTTGGTCCATGTATTTCTGTGATGGAAATGACAATGGTAGAATGACATTAAATGTTTATGCCTTTTTTTTCTTCAAATACATTAAAAAAGTTTCTCATTTTAAAGGTAGCATTTATGTAACCCGAGTATGCACAAATACATTTTCATACTTTTTGCATAATTTCACAAAATTGCAGATAGACTAGAAATGGCGTAGTATTAAATAAAAAAAAAAGTTTATAAGGTGCAAAACTGTTATGAAATGACTGAATTTTAAATAAACAAACAAATAAATAGATAAATTAATAACATTTGAAAATTTTTTCATGAGCAAATGGACAAAATGGCAACTAGACTGAAAATTACAAATTAACTTGTTAAGAACTGAATTATAGGGTGAAAAAAAATGTAAGGTGAAAAAAATGAATGAATTTTAAATAATAGAGTTTTTACAGTGTTTGCAAAAGGTGCAAAACTATTCATGAAATGACTTCTAAATTAAACAAACACATGAAATATGTATACGTTTTACTTAAATTGACGAAATTACAGCTAGACTGGAAATGACATTAACTTCAAAACAAACAAACAAAGCTATAAGGTGCAAATAAATAAATAAATAAACAATTTTTGCATAATTTGACAAAATAACAAGACTGTAAATTACATACATTAACTTAAAAAAAATTATAAGGTGCAAAACTGTTCATGAAATGACTTTTAAATACATTTATTTTAAATAAGTAAATATAAGTAGATAGATAGATAGATAGATAGATAGATGGATAATGCAACTTCATTTAACAAAAGAAAAAACAATAAATAAAAATCCACCCTTGGGACATAAAAGTTCTCTAAGCTGAAGAAACGCCCTCTAATCGGCATCAACCACAATTAGTTTTCTTCTACCAAATATTTAGGGGTTGTTTTATCTGAAATCGATCATACCACAGCAATAGACCACTGAAAAAGCACAGGAAATGTGTGTAGAATCTGATCAGCATTGTATGGCTCATATTTGACTCTTCCATTTTTAGCACGTTATGGAAGTAACATTCACAACTCGAACAGTCGGATAACTGAATTCCCACAGGCTCTCAAATCACACAACCTTAAAAAAAAAATGTTTGAAAACCTCCAGGGCTGTCAAATTAATTTGCCCGTCCAAAGTTCAAATGCAGTGAACTGACGCATGAGCTGTCCTGCGACAAAGATCGACACCTGATTCTTCAGCTTCTCATTGGCCGGTGAGACGTGTGATACTGAGAGAAATCCAGCATGCTTGACTTGATAGAAGCTATATTCACCTTCTACACACTGTCTAAACCAGGTGTGACGTGTAATAAAAGCAACATCTGTTGAATTTATTCAAGCTCGTCTTAATCAGCCGCAGTAAGCAACACTACATTTTGTTTGGATTTAAAATAAATTAATTAATTAAAAATCTAATTATTTCTCTGATTCCCAGTCCTCTGAAAAATCAAATTATATAATGTATTATTATTATTATTATTATTATTCAAATATGCTCCTCATTTAGTTTGACTTTCGTTGAATACCATAACTAAAGCTTAGTGTCTCGTTACGTAGCCTGCTGCACCTTCATTATGCATTTTGACCTTTTTGGCAACTTAAAATAACAGTTAGTGATTCAAGGATTCAAGTACGGCTGGAACCAAATCTGACGTGAAAAGAAAATATCAACAAGGACAGTGTGATCATAAACAACAGCATCAGGTTTCTTACTTACATAAATAATATTATAAATAATCACATATTAAATTGGTTTTGTGATGCACACAGCAAATCAACTTGTGTAACACACACACACACACACACACTCTCTCATTTGGCTGCTGCTCAGCGTTACTGAGCGTTCAGTCTTAACACCGGCTCTAATCTGAGATGTTTGGATGTGAGGGATGATATGGTGAAGAGGGAGAGTTTTATGGATGTGATTTGGGCTAATAATGGATCAGTCAGAACTGGAGCAGCTCAGAAATGAACAGCTCAATAAATGAGGAGCACCGATTCTGCAGAGAGCAGTTTATAAAACATCACAGAGAGACTGAAAATCGAACGAACCCAGCAGATCTGGGCTGTATGATGATATATACTATGAAACCATAAAAATGTGTCGACCGGTACAGATTTATACGATTATAGGTGGAATAACGTCTCGGTTACGTATGGTAACCCTCGTTCCCTGAAGGAGGGAACGGAGACGTCACGTCGGATGACCGACGAAATTGGGATCTCGCTTAGAGGGACCAATCTACTTCGAGTGTAAACTAAACAAGCCAATGCACATTGGCATGCGATTATTGCATCCAGCTGCTGCTGATCACAGCGTGAGTATAAGTAGGCAGCAGATGCAGCGCATATTCAGCTTTTCGCTTCGGAGCCGAGCGATCACATCGTTCTCCTCCTGACTACTCTACTGAGAGAAAAAGACTGAACGAGTTCAGCGCGCTCTTGGAGAGCTCTTCGTGTTGGCGGTACGGCGCTTCAGCGGTGGTGGTTTCCCGTGTCGAGTGGGTTGCACACATCAGGCTGCACTACCCCCTGTTTGCGCTAAAAGAGCTTTTTCCCTAAAAGAGCAATTTCGGGTGCGTCTTTTTAAAGACGACGTTGCGTGGCAAACTTGACGTTACGTCTTTGTAAAGACGATGTGGGTCTTGCTATAGACAACGTATCACCCGGGCGTTTCTGGATGCGGTCGTTACCTGGCGCTGGGTGATGGTCACAATCGCTGCCTCACGTGCCTGGGCATGTAGCACGCTGAGGTGGCGTTTGTGGATGAGTCATCTTCTCATTGCAGGAAGATGACCATCTCGGAGTCGCGGGCCAAGCTCCGTTTCCTCAAGGGGCGGAGTTCCGTTGCCTCTGCCTTGATCTAGTTCTCCTCTTGGCGGCAGCCAGGGGGGGCCTACTTCAGGC